AGATTTTGACTATAATGGTACAAAATGTACAAATAATCGTAAATACCGAGATTATGACTCATTATAATTTGTGACCGTCGCGTAATTGTTATATTTTTATTATAGACAACCATTTTGACGATTCGATTATCGTTTAGAAAATCCTTAGTAAGCATTGTTTTATAAATATAATAATCAATTTTTGAATTTTAACTTAAAATTTATTATATATAATTAAAAAGTTAATTTAGCCTTTTCTCGTTCTCTCTCTCTCTCTCTCTCTCTCTCTCTCTCTCTCTCGCTCACACACACACGCACGCACACACACACTTTATGCGTGCACGCACGCACATGCGCACGTATTTATATATGGACGCGCGCGTGCGCGCACGTATGCTTCGCACGCATGTAGGCATGCGCGTCTACAATGTAAAAACTATATATATATATATATATATATATATATATAAATACTTAACTATTAAGTATCTTGTATATTAAAATTCTATTTAAGTAATAATGAAATGAAATCTTTAGCATAGTAAATCTTATTACTATATTTTTATTTATTGCTATTATAAATTTTAAGCTATTTTAAAGTTGAGATTATGCTTAATATTTGGCAATATTATCACTTAAAGAAAAACTATCTCGTAACATTAATAATACAGAGTTTTCGTGAAAATAAGATATTACTTTTTAATGGTATTGTTTAATGGTAGAATATTTCATTTTTATTTCATTCGAATAATAACCTTAATAAACATCTAATAAACACCGTTTGCATCTCGTCACACATAATGCAGGCCACGAGTTGTTATGTGGGACTGCGTGTGTACGCGCGTTTGCGTGTGCATATTATGCGGCCATGAGAAAGGGTGATGTACATGCATCTTGTATGCGCACGTATGGGTAATCAACACGAACCAGGAGAATTTCGTTAATTAATTTGAATTATCGCGCGGTTGTTTCGTAATGATACCTGTCATGAAATTTACGATGTATTGACGTACAATGACAAAAATCATATGTTTTCTCTTTGATCGAGAAGGAACGACTCTACAAATTAATTTGTAATTCTGGCTTTTTTCTCCTGTCACATTGTCGACCGAAAGGACGAAGGATCGTCCCAGTGCTTCGATATTAAGCATTTGCCAGTCATGAGATGAGAACAGCTGATTCGCTGCATTAACATTGAGTTGACACGGGCTCGTAAATCGGGCAAATAAAACACGAGTCGTGGACCGACTCCAGGAATAATTTGCCTTGTCGCCTCGTCGGTCAAGTACTATCTGGCCTCGGCTGCTTTAATGCGAGCTGATTGCACGTACGAAACCGTGGAAGCACAATTAAGTCAGCGGTATTTGGATCTGCTGGGAGCAGAAGAGTTGAAAACCGCTATCGGAGAAGTGAAGCATCGTCGTCGTCGGCTATGGCAGGCACCACCACTGCAAACGGGTATAATTTCAAAGTTGTTCTCTTGGGCGAGGGATGCGTTGGAAAGACCTCGGTGATGTTGAGATACGTCGAGGACAAGTTCAACGACAAGCATATTTCTACACTGCAGGTAATGCTGAAATCCTAATGTCCTTATGCATGTTTAATAGCTACCCCAAGTTTTCAAAGGACACAATTGTCTTATTTGATAAATGCAAGAGGATGCTTTGGGTATGACTGCGAGGTTGACATTACTTTATCATCAGTTTATCTTTCATTTTATTTTACCATACTAAAGCTTCAGTTAATTTGAAACTGATTTATTGCAATAAACGTTTTAAACGTGTGCGCGCGTATGTGTGCGTAGGCAATCGCACGGATATATAATTATTTCAATTTTAAAGTAAAAAAATTTTTAAGGCTAATAAATAAAATATTAATTGAGGAAACTCAATATTTCTAGCTAAAAAAGTAACTTAAAAATATTATTAAATAGGTAATAATATATATATTTTAAGTCACAAATTTTTATGATAAAACGAATTTTAGATAAAATTATTATTTGTTATTTATAAATGTTTCTTAACTTTTGTATAGCTTTAATTTGTAATAATAATATTTTGAGGGAAACTGTTAATAAATATATAATATATTCTTTATTAATTAAAATATTAATATTAAGTAAGAAATTATATTTTATTTACAGGCTTCGTTCTTTAAAAAAAAGCTTAATATTAATGGAAAAAGAATTAATTTGGCAATTTGGGATACAGCTGGACAAGAACAATTCCATGCACTTGGGCCAATTTATTATCGAATGTCTAATGGAGCTATATTAGTTTACGATATTACAGATCAAGAAACATTTAAGAAGGTAAGTTTATTACACTACAATCCTATAATTTATTGCAGAGTATATTATTGTCTTCTTAAACTTATATTTTATTTTATCTTTAATATTGGTGATACTTCTTAAAATAGTATTTTTCTTATAAAAGTAATTTGAAAAAAAAGCTATTTTACCCTCGAGTGCTTTAAAAAATTGCATAAAATGTCTATGCATAATTCAATAATCGATTTATCTCTATAATACATAAGTATAATCGATATTCCTGTCATTGTTTCCGGTCATTAAAAATCTTTATGATAAATGATTTTAAATACATAAAAATTGATTACATTAATTCTACTCTCAAAGTTATATGAAACTTGTTAATAAATAAAAATGATGGAACTTCTATGTGTCATAAATTATTTTTTATAATGTAACGCATTAACATTATAAGATAATACAGAAATTAGATACTTTTCTACCTATCTAATACAGATTAATTAACTTTCTTAAAATGTAAATTAAATTTTTATATTTCATTTTCAGGTGAAGAATTGGGTTAAGGAGCTAAAAAAAATGTTAGGTAGCGATATCTGTTTGGCCATCGCTGGAAACAAAGTTGATTTAGAAAAAGATAGAAACGTGACGGTTGAAGAGGCAGAAGAGTGAGTTTAATTAAAACAAGTTCTTAGCTTCATATTAATTTTATAAATGATAAACTTACAAGTAACGTATAGAATTAAAATGTTATTTGTTATACCAAATTTTGGAATATCTTATGTATTTGGCTGCATCTGATCATACAAAGGTGCTTTACTATTGTTAACAGTTTCTCATATTTCTTAGATACATGAAATCTGAGTTTCGGTTTCTTGATACCAATTGCAAATCAAGTGACTTTCTTCGATATTCACAACGCGATCGAATAATATTAATCGATATCACTTGACGGCAAGAACAACCGACTTGACAGTGTATCGTGCAGGTATTAAAATCTGCGGTGCGTACTATTGAGCGTCTTTACTGAGTTGTTTGCTTCATATTAAAATTATTTTCCAATGAAAAGCCTATTAAACCTACTTATCTTACATGTTTCATAAGGTTTCCATGTTTTTTTACAAATTCGTCTGAAGATCGAGACAAAATCAAGTCAAGATCCATGTTCTAGTCTTAGCTATACCTTAATTCACATAGCGAAAACGGTTTTTCACTTTGCAAAGTGTTTGATTTAATGCTTGTTATCATAGTTATTTAAACTCTAATGGAAGTTTCTACAATTTTGTATATTTTTATTTTCCATTACTTTTAAACATATATATATATATATATATATATATATATATATATATATATATATTAATTTGATATGCTTCTTTCAATTCGATATTCAATTGGCTAAAAGCTTATCTGCGTAAAATTAAATCTTCGTTTAATAATAAATTTACGATCCTAGCAGGTATTTGCTGTATTGTGCAATCATTAGATATCAATAACGATAAATCAAATTACTACATATTTTTTAAACTATTTATAAGAATATGTTATAGAATCCTGTATTAATAATGGAAATACAGGATTCTTATCAATTATTTATAGAGAATTGTATAAAAATAATATCAGAATTTTTTTAAACAAACTTATTCTTTATTATCATTGTTTCAAATTATTTTTGGGTAATTAGCTAAGGTATTTTTAAATATTCATTTGTACATTGAATTATAAGTAGCATATTAAAGAACTTAATATTTCATATAAAAATCATTGATAGTTCTTTTATATTTAATATTTGTGCAGATTATCCACATGGATTATATATCTTACAAAATATTACTTGCTTGATTTTTAAATAATGTAAAACTTAAAAACATTATATAATTTATTTTTAATTCAAAGGTACGCAAAGCAGGTAGGCGCGATACATTTCCACACGTCAGCCAAACAGAATATTAACGTTGACGACATGTTTTTGGATCTAACTCGTCGAATGATACATCACGCAGATCAAGTCGAACATAAATCCACATTAAATAGTAATAATAGTACTAGACGAAATATCGTTATCGTCGAGGATGAGAATACAGAACACAATCAACCTAAGAGTTCATGCTGCGGTGGAAGCAGTGCTGGAACATCGTCATAGAACTCATAATTAATTTAAAAATTAGTCTTTAAAAAGAAACTACTACCAGGTTTTATCGCTAAATGTGCATATGTATATGTATTAACAAAAAATTCAAGGTGGATTGTTACTAAGCTATTTCATGCTAGTTTTCTATTTTGATTCAAAAGTAAATTCAAAAGTAAAATTTTAAAGATATAGGTTATTTGTAAGATAAGAAGAATGTTCTATGTATTATAAATATAAGCATTGAATTATTTTATCGAATATCTTAAATCAAAGGAGCATATCCAAATATTATTATCATTATTATTGGAATTTATCAGCGATTTATAAAGAACTGCACAAGGCTATAAAAGTTATAAATAATACGTGTAAACGACGTTAATTGAAAATTCAGTATTTAATATGAATTAATCAATAGCAGTGATAAATGAAGTGGTTGCTGTATATCGAGTTTTACACTGATTTAATTAAAATATTACTAGTCTTAATTTTATTAATTTGTTTTAAGTTGTGTTATGAAAATCAAATTTTTGTTGTAGATAAATTTTTATATTATATAATTTAAATTTGTAAAAGATTTTAAAATAAATTAAATATATATTTGAAATTAAGCTTTTTCTAAAATTGTAATCGATTGTTTAGTTTAAGTTGATGAAATCAATCAAGTGAATTTAAAGATAATGTTATATGAACAAATTTAAGGTTTCTGTACTATTTTTTTAAAAACGAATATGATATTTATGTAATATGATACAAATGATCTAAATATGTAAAAACATTAAAATTAATATTAATTTTAGACATTATAAATAATTTCAATTACAAAGAAATACGAATAATTATAAGAAGAGCATTCAAGGATAATTACAGCAATGGTATTATATTTATTAAATATCGTATACATACTTTTGTCCTTTCTTTAAATTAAATGATAACATTTTTTCACAAAATAATTTATTAATCCATTATTCATAATCAATTTATGTGTATAAGGAGATACAATGATTGAATACACTTACCGCTGAGTAATTTTTATTTGCAAATGGTTAAAAGTTAAAAAGTTAAAAGCATCAAAATGATAATGCAATAAGACTCGCTTGAATATTAAAATATTTTTGAATAAATAATCTTTTATTTAATATATTTTGAAGAACCAAAAAACATTGTTTTAATTACCATTTGCAGCATAAAGAAAAAAAAACTTTAATCACATTTGTGAATTCCAAAGTAAATTGATATATACAATTATATGGGTTTTAAGCAACAATAAAGCTATATAATATAAAAGTACTAAATGTACTTTTATTTACAATTTACAAAATATTAATTCTCATATTCTTAATAACTTTGCTAATTAATAAATAAGTGCAATTAATTATTTAAAAGCTTCTTAAATCTTAAGATTGTTGTATTGATCTCAAGATTTCACAATCAATGTATTTTGAGCAAGCTTATCTTATATGATAATACGATTATAAAGAATTCGTTAACAGTTAATTATTTTGTATTAAAAATATATGTTTTCTTTCAGCGAGAATATTTTATAGAAGCTATGCTTAAATATTTTTAATTTTTCTCATTAAATTTCTGATCTTAAATTATAGCAATAAAAATTAATTTCTATTGTGAATACGCATTTACTTTTAGTGAATATTTATTTGTTTTACTCTCCACGCTTTAATTAATCACACTTGTATTTCAATTGTGCCTCTCAATTTAAGTAATTAAGTATATAAATATTATAGCACTAAAAATAACATTTGTTTAACATGTATTTTTAAAAATGTTCGTAATAATTAACATAATCTTTCATGTAAATTAATATTATGAAATGATTATTTAAAAAAATTGTTTTTAACTGGATATGAAACTGTTTTTGTGTATTTTATAGCTAATAATATAATATTTATTTATTGGACTTTTTAAGAAGCTTGATAAAATTGAAAATGTCTTTCTGTTATGTAGGTATTGGTATATTTAATACTTGTACGTAACATTGCAGGTTTTAAATATAATTTGGATTTTTTATTAAAATTTGCACCGAGAATATTGTTTATTTTGTATCCTATATTTGAATGTACACAATTTTTATCTTACCAAAAGTACATAGCGTACTAATTGAGATTTCTAGCGTAAAATTGAAACGCTCGATAGGCTGCCAAAAGAGTTTAGATTAAATATATCAATTTTAAAAAGTAATAGATCTAAACTCGCCAGGAACAAAGGTCCGTTTATATTATTATATTCTGGATTGCAATTATTATATTACAATGGATATAAAAATATGATTTAATTATATTGAAACTCGTGCAAATATTCAGCGGAGCAAACTCTTGAAAACAAATAAAGAAAATATGTTATTTTCTATTTTTACGACTGTCTTTTTACACGAATAGTTACTGTATCCACGAAAAAATTAATATAAAACATTGTATTTGACCATATACGAACAAATGTAATAATTTATTTGAGCATTTATTATGTACGTGTATTAATTAAAAACAATTATGCAAGATAATTTCAATGAATTGTTAAAATGCGCGCTTTTATGTGTATTATAGATTATTTACAAAAATATATTCATTATTATATCATTATATATCATTATAAATTCATTATTTTTTTATCAATTAATTATCAACGTAACCGTATAAGGATCAAAGAATTTTAATGGAATTGTAAAGATAATAATAATTTTAGTATTTTTTTAACTAGTAATAAATAAAAGTTGCAGTCATTTAAGAGTTTTAATAAAAATTTTGCGTATGAATTTTAAAGCTTTTGGGAGGAAAATGCATTTACAAATTTTGAGATATTTCCGTCGGTTACTCTCCTTCAATAATCGTGTTAACGAGAATTTGATTAATTCCTATCTAATTTTAGTGGTATTTTATACTACAAAAAATACAATATAAGAAATAGTAATTGTAACATAATTCAATAAATACGAACATTGTTTAATACTTCGGAGAAGATTTGAATTTCTGTTATTTTAAGTAATTATATTATATATTATTATTAAAATTTAAAATATAAATAGAATATTAGTAAAATTATTAATAATATAACAAAGGAAGCAATGAAACAATTACGAAAGACTAATTGAAAAATATCAATAATAAACTTTCTTTTAACAGTTATTTTCAATGTTTATATTATTTTGAAATTCTTCTACATTGCATTAATTTATGTAATTTAAGTAAAAATAATTCTATGAACTAAAAATTGAAATAAATACTTTCAGTTGTACGAAAATGAATAAAATTAAAATTTGTTTATGTCATTTAATTTTATCATCCACTGTGAATAGTTTAAAATTAATAATTAAAGTATTATATTCATTTGAACAATTTAGATTAATTCAATCTAAATATTAAAATTTTTAATTTAACAACACTGTAGATTAATAAATTCATGCGACTTACAATTTATTGTTCAACTTTAATGGGCTTCACTTTCAGTCACGTGCACCTACTTCTAATATATTATTACACTTAATTTTTATTGTGATTTGTGCAATTATTGTAAAAAATAATAAACAATATTGTTGAATTATGTTTTTTTTATTTTTTTTTTTTATTACCTGAAATAATAAGCAACACATTCGTTTATATACTTATTTAATCGCCAGTTAGTCAGATATTAGACATGATACATAACTATCGCAAATATTTACATGAAGTGTGCATATAACAGTGTATATTATGAGCAAATTTTTAGTCTTTTATATAGAAGACCACCTGTACAAAAAATTTCGAGACTTGGAAAAGTAATGATTCAATTCAAAGAATATAAAAAGCATCTTATTAATTATATGATTTTTTTTTTGTATAAAAAAAAAATTATATTTACAATTTAAAATTTCATCATGAAGATATAACAATTTCAATATGTAGATATTTATTTTGTTAAAATATTTTGTCAGTTTGCAGTTAGATTTTTTGCACAGGCAGTACAAACAAAGTAAATTTCGTGTTAATGTTCTTAATTATAAACATTTTACATACTATAAAACAATTTTTGACATATTTTATTATTCTTAAATTTAGGTCATCAAAAGCAATGACTAATAATCTATCGTCAACGTACTTTTACAATTATTAGATTAACAAATATTGCATTTGTTAGATGCATTTGAAAATTAGGTGACTAAATTTAAACATTTTATCAGCGTTGTTATTAATATACATTTATGTGTAATCAAACTAAGAGAATATGACAAATGTTTAGCCAAGTGAGTAAAAATCTACAATAATTTAAACCTACAATTATTAAAATTTATATATATATATTTATTTATAGAATATACTGAAAAAATTCATGTAACTTCGATTATTTCCTGTATTTGAATAGACATCTCGGTATGACTCAGAATTATTTTTCTAATTATTTATTTTTATATGAAAGTATTATTTCCTATATTATTTTCATTAATTAATTAAAAATCAGTTCTAGGCACCTTAAAAGCTATTTTATACACCACTGAATTATATACAAAATATTATTTATATTACAGGATGTTTCGATAAGTAAATAAATTTAATCATATGTAATGATTAATTTCACATAGCGTATATTTAAATCTAGGATGTATTAAAATAGATTATTTAGCTTAGTAAAACTGATGTGGAATGTTGATGCTATGATTATTACAAAGAATGTTACAACAATAAGAATAAGAAAAACTAAAATTATAAAATGCTTTAAAAATAAAATTTAGGAAGAATCATCCTGTATTACATGTAATACTTATAAAAAATTAATTACACCGATTGAATAATACTTTTTTACATATAATCGTGTGATATTTTCGTATATCTTTGGTATGGGAACGTTAATTTTTATGCAAATATACAAACCTCCACGACTCAATATTCATAGCCTCAAAATAAATTGGAGACTTGATTCATTTTAAAATATTATGGCTATTGAAATTACTCAAATTGTCCAGAAATACATTGATTTCATAACGATTACAACTTCCATGTGCATTTATAATTTTTTTTCTTTTTACGACAAGCAGATAAAAATCTCGTTAATACATTTAATTTTAAAAAGATATTTAAAATGATGAGTGAAATTTTTTTTTAAGTAACGCATGTTATTACAAAATATAAATATCTAATAGTTTTATAAATTAGTAATCACTGGTATAAGACATTTATAAATGTAACAATTGTACCAATAATTGTACCAACAATTACTTTTTATGCATACATTGAGGCATCGTTATTATGTATTGCAACGAAAGTTTTTATACTTTAAAAAATAGCCCTGATGATTTTTCATTTTATCGAAATAAACAATAATTTTCGAATTGATATATTACAATTAATTATAATTTTCAAAACAAATTCAATACCATAAAACATTTTAATAACTTCATACTTCTACGTATGATTTTATTCAATATTATATGAATAATAATTTTCCTTTTATTTATATAATTTAATTAAAAGATCTTAAAATTAAAATAAATAAAAATTACTTGAATAAATGAAAAGAAATTTAGCTTTTATTTTGGAAAAATAATTTTAATTTTTACTAACAATCAGTTTTTAATTGACAAACATTTTAATAAACAACAAAACCATTATTTATAATTTTTCTAAAATAAAATCTAATACTTTTCTAAAATATAAAAGATTAATTAGGCTGTTTCTTACCAGAAATAAATAAAATTACTCCAAGTTATAAAGAAAAGATTTACGAATGAATAGATTTAATATTTTCAGAAGCAACTATTTCATTGCATTAAAAATTATTGAAAAATGTAAGAATTTGTAAATTTTATGTTTAATGGAATTATAGATATATATTAAGAAAAATCACCTGACAGCTACTTAAAAAACTGTACAGAAGGCTTAACTAGAAGCGTTATAAGATCCTTGTTCATAAACGTCTATAAACGTTATTTTTAAATTATAAATATCTTATCTTGATCGGTAAACACGTAGTCGATAAATTGGTTGATCGGGCCAATTGCTGACAAGGACATACCTCGTGAGGGTGGTGCCCTCACAAGATTAGGACCGAAGACCACTGCTAGGTTACTCGAGGTCATCTTGTTCAGATCGCACCTATCCATTACCTATTTGAATAATGACTTTTGTTAAAAACATATTTATTATTGTCAATCGTTTTTACTATAAAATTAACAGGTGCACTAATTACTATATCATAAATACGCTCTTTAAAAAAAAAAAACAATGCATAACTATACAACTATACATTGTTACATTGATAAATTTGAATAAATATTCTTAAAATATTTACAAATTCAAGTATTTCAATTTCTTTTTTCCCATATCTGATATACAGATTTTAATAATTTATGAGTTTATTAAGGGATTTTAAGTACATTATAATCTTTGAATAAATTGTAAATATTATTTAAATAAATATTTATTAAATAATTTCAAATCGACAATGCGATATGAAAATTAAAAAATTTTTAAATATCCCAAGAAATAAAAGTAATTTAAATTCCGTTAAATTTAAATTAAAAATATTTATAAATATACTTTGGTAAAATAAAATATATTTACGTAATATTACATAAATTAGAGTATATTTTATTTTTATAATGTTATTAAGTAGATATGTTTTCCCGATCAAAATTAAACCGAAAATATGAATATTATTATTGCTTTACTGTAATATTGAAAATTTACACACACAAAATTTTTTGTAATAATTTAAATTTAACGTATAATATTTTAAAGAAATTAAGAAAATATTGAAACAATAATTCATCGCTCTATTTCTGCATTTTGACTTATTAATTATAGAATTAAAATGAACATTCTATGCTTATGTAATAGTGTAATAGTATATGTTATATAATATAAATTACCCTAGATAAGAATTGAACGATATATTTCAAAAGATGATAATTATCTTCGGGAAGTTTTTCAAGAATTAAGATTTTCACTCTTCTTGGTCGTTCATCTTTGGACAAGGCTAAAGATGAAAGTAAATTAAGTGTTTGTACTAGATTTTATTTTTGTATGATTAAAAAACGTAATATCGTGAATTTGTTTACTTTGAAATTGTGTGATCTCATCATACAAATCATATGTCATTAGTGGTTCTTCAAGTTCTCGAAGAAATGTCTTTAAAAGAACAGCTGCTATATGTGCATCGCCTTGAAAATCAACAGATAAGCCTTGATTGCATTTGCTTTGAAGTTCTTTGATTACTGTAACATTAGCTGATCTTCTAAATATACCTTCAGTTTCTATCGCTGAAATTATTAAATACACAAAATTAGAATGAAAACAGAAATATTTAATTTTTTAAACATTTAAAATTAATTTCTTTCTTTATATAATCAAATTGTCTAAAATAAATTAAATACAATATTCTTTCTCCAATAAACGTGTTTTTTTTTTTTTTTTTTATATCGTCTTATCGTATTTCGTTAAACTTTTAATAGAAATTTGAATCTTTTATTTTAGAAATTAATAAATATTTTAATAAAATATTCTGTTAGACTATCAGTAAGGCGAGCTTTGTATTCCAATTGTATGATCAATTACAAATATCAATAACATATTTATTAAGTTATTTGTTAAATTACAAGCCGTACCATCAGGCGTATCAAGAAACTCTACGCATTGCCGTACTATTGGCGGCACTGGGTCTCCTCTATTATTTTCTTTAATAAATTGAAGACTCGCTCCAAATTGTGTGGTTCCCACTGGAGTACTTATTGAGCTTGGCGGTGGACTCGTTGATATATTTTTTTTATTTTTTAACATTAGCTGTTCATCGTGGCTAAAAATATATTTCAATCTTTATGATATCGATGTAGTAGCATATTATATAAGATAATTCAATCCCTCAAGATTACTTATATTCATAAAGAAACATTGATTTATCGAATTTTTGCATTTACAAAAAATACTTATACTTACTCGATCACTTGTTGCGGGATTATTAATTGGTCAAGATTAATATACTGAGCCAATTCATCTAAATAATTGACATACATCATTTTTCGACCAAATTTGGCGCTGAAAGAACAACAAAGAACAACATTTTTTATGAAAATAAATTAAAAATTTTAAATACCGTAAATATTGATATTCAATGTTAACATTAGAGCTTATAATTAAATTTTTGTTGATAATAATAATAATAATAAAAATAATAATAAAAAAAAACTTCTTCTTACTTCTTCTCTACACCTCATTATAAATAATATCTTCAATGTATTCGAAGATTATAAGAAGTTATAAGAAAGATGATCAGTTTAATAATTTATGTTGGTAATTTTTTTTTTTGTTTTTTAGACAATCCGTAAAGATTACAATGGTCTTTTTTATTTATTTACCAATATGTTATGGAAAATCTTATACCATTACATATAAGTATAAAAGTGAAATAAACTTATTAATCAATCAGAGTCTTTGCTTAACTTCAGTCCCTTGTTGTAATATGCGCAATTAAATATGCTACATTGCTACATGATTAAAATTTACAACATTACACACCTTCTAGTGCAGCACACACTTACAAAATAACAATAAGTTATGATTAATTTATTACACAATATAGGATTTTAATATATATTTGGTTATTTAGAATATTATGTTAATAATAAATGTATGTCTCTAACCTTATGGCCGGTTTAAATATCTGCCAAACAATGCGTATGAAGTTGGTTGGATGAACGAGATAAAGCGCCTTAAGATTCTTCTTGTACTTTCTGTCGAATGCCTTATAAGCCTGCCAGAGCCAGGACAACGGCGGCTTATTCTTGGAGGTGAGTCCGTGATGAAAATACACGAGACTGTAATCCTGCTCAACGAAGGTGTCGAGCGTATGGGTGAGGTAGCGCAGGAGCTTGGCATGGTTGAAGACTTCCTTGCTCACTGGGGGCAACTTACATGCCGAGACTACGATGACCTTCCGCCCGGCACTGTCATCACCGACAACCTCGACAATCCCAAGGCGTGAGATGTCCTGGTAATCCTCCTCGTCGGCGAGTTCCGTATCCAGTGCCGCGAGATCGTCGGCTGCAAATTAAGCAAACGAGGATGCTTTTTTTTTTTTTTTTTTTTTTTTTTAAAGATACTTTTAATTTTTTTAGATACTCAACTTTTAAACTCGTTTCAAATACATTGTTAAGGGGCTAATATTTCTTTATGACATCATTTTATATTTTCATTAGAATTATTATTATTATTCGTTTGAATTATTCAACTAGAATCAGAAATGCAAAAGCGCTGTCGATCGTTTGATCTCGATAGGATAAAATTTCATGTAGATGATTAAGTGAATAAAAAGAGATATTGGATCGAACTTATAATGTAAGAAGAGATAAAGTTTACTACTACTTGTAGAGAGGGTGACGTCTTTGAATTTCCAATATTACTAGCAATACTATTACTGGGTGTTACGTATTTAAAAATGTTGAAGTTTAAAAATAAACAATTTATCCTCTTACTTGGTCTGCGTTCTGCTCTAACACATATGTTTTAATGCATTTTAACATGTATGTCGTTTAAAAGACAAATTTTTACTTTACAGATAAAGATATGTGTGAGAAGTGCTTTCTTAGAATTAGAAATGCATACCAGTTTCAATAACAGGAGCATCGACCAATGCTTCTTCAAAGTTTTCTTCTATGGTTCCATCGCTCCCTGGACTTTCGAGGAAATCCATACCAGATCCAACTGTTAAATCCAATTTCTCTTCTAGCAGCTGATCCGCTGAAAATTGCATGAATATCTCATTAAAATCGAATTGCTTTTCATTTATTTGAATTCATAAAAATGTATACATATAGCGTAAGAAATACATGTATTTGAAGATGCTTGTAATTCTGTGTCGTCGAATTCCAAGTTTGGTTCGTGATCATGGAAATCTGATAGACTTGGGAATGCTTCTTCGGATTCATTGTTTACAGCTGAAACAAAAGAAAAATATCATTTAAAATTTACGAAAATTTTAAGCTCTATTTAAATAAGAAAGAATTTTATATTTCAGCTAAAAGTACGAATTCGGTTTTCATTTTAGTTTCAACTTGTAATCAAACGACGCGTAAATCAACGACGCATCTCATGCGTGCTGATACGTTGCTTACTCACTGTTCTCAACTTATCAATGGCTTTTCAATAAAACTATAAACTATAAAATCGTTATAAATGCTTTACATCGTAATAAATATTGAATGATATTAAAGTTAAAAGTGTATCGTTATATATGAGTCTAATTAAAGACAAGAAATAAAATTGCCATAGATACGTAGTAATCTATAAGTAATAATAAGCAGTATTGATATACAACAGTATTCCAATTAATTTAAATAAATGTTCCTTTAATTTGTATCTCTAACCTGAAATATTTACGAAAGTATACATAAAATATATTCGCATAAAGGAAACATGATTGATAATTTCAATTTTATAATACAAGTCTAAAAATATATAAAAAGATAATTATTCGCATTCGGTTTATATTCGCATAATTTCAAATGTGAAAGTTGTTCAGTAATATTTCACTATGTTCATAGTCATTCATGTGGAAATGGAATATACAAATTTTCCCTTATCTCGATTCTCTAATGCAAATTTTAAACTTTTTAAGGAATAAAAGATATAGCGAAATTTAAATTCGATTTTTATTCAAAATAAAAAATATGCTATTACGTTAGGCATTTTATTTAATAATTATATCTAATTGCACTTGTAATTATTTAAATACAATAAAATAAAATGGTATATAACACAGTTATAATAATGCTTCCTCGAGGAGGGAAGCTCTTTTATTTCAATGTTCAAGAATGCATGGTGGCCCCTTTTACAAATAATTTTGAACAAGCCGTGTTACGATATTTTATTATTTATTATTTGTTTAATTTACAATTACAACCTCTACATTGATAATTTTTAGTCGCCGATAATAAATCATATCTAATTCCTACCGCAAATAAAAGGCAGTTATTACGAATTTTCAAAAATATATTAATAAACGACACGCTCCTCCCAGCTCACTCATTCGCATTTACATTTCATAAAATAAGAAAATCCTGACAATGCATCGATTAAAGACTTTCCTTTATTATAAAAAGAGAAAAGACAAAAAAAAAATAATAGAAAATAAATAAAGTCCATAAAGATCGAAGGTCACATAACAAATCCTTTAATTAAATTAATCAACCGTTTAATATACAAGCAAAAGAACAACGACTCTAATTATTAAAACAATGAAAGAATTTAATGACCAGTTGACAGCAGAGTAAGAATTACACGGGTCTTTTTAATGTTTTGGCAGCGATCGTCGGTGGAAAAGTACAGGCGTAAAAAAAAATTACGTAAGCGGCAACCAGGCTTTGCCCTTGAATTTAAGAAAAGTATGATGAATTCGAGAGATGCGAGGTGCGGCTCGACCCGAACAATCCTTTTCAGTATATCGCATTTGAGTCCGATACGGCAACGCTTGATTGTCACGCCTCTATTTTGCGTAGCAGAAATGTTTTCATCTACCGCGACAGTTGGCAATCTCTTCCAATTTTCAAATATCTCCAGTCGCATTATCAACTCTCTATTGTAAAATCTCCAATCTGGAGCTTCGAGAGCGATAATTGTGCTCCAAGTAATAAATTCCCTAGAACAGTTATTGCTTAAAAGATTAAGAATTAATTTATTAGTAAATTAATTTATTTGGGCGATAGGAGTCCCGAGGTTTCCGACATTAGTAAAAGCTAATACAGATCAGCATGGTTATTTATAAATATTAATTATTTTCAACAACACGTATACAGAGGCATTTTTTCTCTTTCCGCATATGGAGAGAAATTTATATAGAGAGAAAAGAGAAAGTCTCCTCTAGTGGAATTGGACTTGAATGTTGCAAAACTCCACCTTGCTAAGAATAATTCAGCATCAACGAATCCTAATCGAAATTTACCGTAAATTGATAATACTCACTCTTCACTTTCGGCAAATAAACGGGGAAAAGAAAATATGAAAAAGAAACGAGCAGACATGCAGACACGAGTCGCTGTAAAAACTCCGGTAACTTTATGCACTCGCAACGTAACGCGATTGTTCGTATCATTAATCGTCATCGTTTCAGCATGGAAAATACGTGGAGGAAAAAAAAAAAGAAAAAAGAAAAAAGAAACGGAAGGTGATTATGACGAGTGGGCTGATATAATGGACTGAGCGCTTTCGGGAAGAAAATGCGCGAATGGAAAATTTGAGCCTCGTCTTGCATTCTTAGCATAGGTAGAGAGTTACGAGGCGAATAAAAGATTGGGAAGCGCACTCCCCCTGTAAGTATAAGTCGTTGGTATAAGAGAGATTTCCGGTCGGTCGATTCCTTGTCTATTGGCACGTTCGTTAGTTCCTTTCTCGAAGCATCAATATACGTTGGAGGTCGCGGGAATCACAAGCGCAAGTTGCGTTGCCACCGAAAAAAAATCGCCAATCGAGCGGAATAGCGATTGTGATCCTTCCGTTGACACAGCGGAAAGTCTGAATTGAACAAAAAAGTATGTGAAAAAAAAAAAAAAAAGCTAAGGCATTTTCTTTGGCATTCGTAAGGCTGTAAGTGCGGTAACAATAATACTTAGATTTTCATAGGAACGTAATTTTACTAATCGCCTAATGAGTTTATATTGGTTTTGTTATGTTGACTTGCTACTTGACAGTAGTCAATACATTGGATTATTACGACTATATCGATAGATAGATAGAGAGAGAGAGAGAGAGAGAGAGAGAGAGAGAGAGAGAGAGAGAGAGAGAGAGAGAGAGAAAGAAAGAGCAAATGTCCAATAAATCAAAGTTGGCAACATAATTTTAATTCACGTGCCAAAAGAGGAAACTGTTTTGGAATACTTAACTTAATGTAAAATTTGATAGAAGATGAGGCTAAATCAATATTTTTTCTCTATGGCGCAATGAAATTTCTATTTTTATTTTAGATAAGACTATTACTTCTGACATCTAGGGAAATATTTATTTTCGTTGATGAAGCGAAATTAAATTTGATTGCGATAGCGACTTTAACCTTTTTGAGTGTTGTAAGATATAGAAACTATAACGCGGTGTTGTGACATTCTTCACCGTTACCATTTTTAAAAATAAAATTCAAATTCATTAAGGCCTCTGTCTATATTTAATGTTCCGTATAAATAGTAAATTAAGGAGTTTTTAATAGAATTAAAATAGACTCGACAATGTTGTATCAATAAATTTAATTCTTACAATCGCAGTTGGTAAAAACGTTTGCACATTATCGTTTCAATTTGTAAAATGTTAAATTTATTACAAATCTTCCCACATTGTAGCTTTAAGCATATTTTTAATCATTTTAGTTGATAATAATAAGATATATTTTATTTAAAAAAGAATATGAAAAATTCTCTCTGAAACATTTTGACATTGATTACATTTTATAAAATATGTCCGATATCTTGTAATTCTCATAGAGTTAAGACAAAAAATTATAATCATTAATTATTTTATGATTTTTTTAAAAGGATTATTAACCTCTTCGTTACTTATTGTTTTAATTATATTTAAAAGTTTTAATAAAAATGTTTTCTTCGTTCAAATAAAGCGTCACATTCTTTTTAAGGATATATTTAGTATAATAAAATATTGCTTAATAACAGTTATAATAATAAAGAATATTTATTATTTTACACCGTTAAATTATACACCGGAAATTTCATATTTTTGTTTTTGTTTCACGCTTTTTAAATTTTTTACACATAATATTTCAAGCTTATAAATAATTTATATTAAATTACTAATTTTTAATTGTTAATTGATCCAAAATAATTACAATGGTCGTTAAATTTATCGTATCATATTATTTGTATTTTTATTAAAATTCCAATGAGAACTAAAACTACTGATTATTAGTTTCAATTTGAATTTATTATATTTCATAATTATTATAGCTAATGCACGAGTTCTTATACGGAGTTTTTTGTTTTTACATTGCACGCGTTACTCGAGGAAGCACAGAGCGAAGGATAAAAATTGCTTTCATAATAAAATATTTATCATTCTAATACGTTTTTCATACATAAAACCAAAGAGGACTATAATCGAAATTGTACAGAGCAACGATACTCATAGTTATTTATTTTTCATAGTTGTTAAATTGAATAATGAAATAATACAGAAATTATTCATCATTATTTATTATAATTATTATCATAATTAATGTTAGCTTTAAAAATATATCTCACTTTTAATTTTGTATATTTAAAGAAAACAAAGTCATCGGGTAGTCGAAGGAATAAAATAATACATTTACTTGTTAATGAATATTGAGTTAAAGTGGTTAATATAAGTATGAAGTAGAAACTTTGTTACATATAAAAAGATACTATTGATAAGAAAGTTTAGCAATAGTTATTGAAGTAATGATAAAAAGTCAATTAATCGTTGCAATAATTTAAAATTTATTTTGAAATAGTTTTTAAACACTCGTTCATTGATTATTTTAGTATTTGATTTTAATTATTCTTTGGGATAGATTTTATTTATTATATTATATACATAACCATCAAATATATAATTGGAATTAATTGTGCGAGATCAATTCTCTAATATTTATACGTAACGTGCTTCTTTCTCTTTTATCATATTTAATAGTTATATTTGTTTACTTCCTTTCGAGTCATAAAAAATATTTTTTATATCTATACTAAGATTTTTTTATAGTACAATGCACGTATCACACAACAGGTTTTAAAATTTATATCTTGGGAATACGACATCATATTTATTCCTATTAATAGAAGCAATTATCTATGAAGTTAAAGAAGATAAGCCATGGTAATGATAATTAACCTAATGCAAATAATTATATACATACATTTATCATTTAATAATGAATTTAACCTATTAATGAAAATAAATTTTAAAAGTATAATACCATTTCCTTGAATTATAAAATTAGATTTATGGCCAATGTATTTTAGTGTCCATTATTTGTTTCTAAATTCAAACAAACATCATACATTATTTTCACAATTAAATTATTGTTAAGCCTCTATTTATTGCTTAATATTCAATTGCAATTGATGGCTTTTGTATCATTATTTATCTGAATTTCTTTGCAAAAGCGAACGCCGCACATTATTAACTATTCATGTAAAATACCATTCGCTGATATACACAAATTGTTCGAATAGCCATGATTTTGATTTACAATAGTTGCTCTGAATATTTCCAGCACTACTGAACAGGCATTACCGAACATGGCCATAATTTCATTATTTACACCATTACAATGCTTAATCGTTAACAGTGAATTTCTTGTAATTTTCAAATGATAAGCCACTTGACAGTATTAAAAGGAAGAAACAAGAGCAAGAAGAAGCTGCCAACGTAATGGAAAGCACCAATTGCATAAATGCCGTAACCAAATATTCATTTGGCTTTGTATTACGTTGAAAACGAGATTTCCATCACCCGGTTCAATCGACGAATTGTACTCTAATAACGTGGTGTGACCGCACACGTATCCGCATGTACACATGCACGCATGCACGCACCTATGTGCAAACACACATGCCCACGTATGTAGATGCACGCATGAACACACAGTCGTGCCAAGTCGTAACGGACGTCTTAATTTACTTACCTGTCAAAACATTCGCGGGACCGAGCATCGGTTGATAATCGGATTCCATTTCTCAGCAAGTGAGCCAGGTTTCTTGCCGTTTCCTTAGCGTGAAAAATATCACTTATACCGTGATGATTTTGCGTTGCGTCGGCTCTCCAAAATATATATGCAAAAGACACACGCACACATACGCAGGCCTTCGCCCGTGCGATGTCCAACTTCACACTCCCAGTTTGTGATTGTTGTTTCGTGTAGCTGTCGCTGTTAATAATGGCGATAATGACGACCACGACCAAGACCACGACGACGACGGCGACGATGGCGACGACGACGACGACGACGACGACGACGACGACGACGACGACGGCGACGACGACGGCGACGATGGCGACGATGACGACGACGTCGACGACAACGACGTCAACGAGAATAGCGGTAGCGCCGACGACCGCGACGAGGAAGAGAAGTAGGCAGAGGAGGAGGAGAAGGAGCACGATGACGACGACGACGACGACGACGACGACGACGACGACGATGATGATAACGACAACGACAACGACAACGACAATGGCAACGACCACGGCGGAGACGACGCGGCAGATAGAGACGGCGTCATGATTACGCCAACACTTGTCGCGAATGTGCAGTCGTCGTCGATTCCGCGAAAATGTCACGAGAGGATTGACGACGACGAGGATGACGGGCTTGGCAGTCTAGCGCTCAAGGGACGAACAGCAGTAACTTGCGGACACGGCCCACATTCATTCCTCTACGCCTCTATTCCCCCATTCTCTTTCGTTTTTCCAACATTATCACTTGTCTACGCGACGATAAAATAGAAGTTAGATTAGTGCCATTGGGCACACAGTGAAATATCCGAGAACGTTGTCGTTAACTCTACATTTGCGCCATCACCACGCGAGTAACTCCCTTTTTTTATTCCCTTTCCCTCCCTTCCCACCCTTCCTGCCCTTCCCGCCCTTCCGTCCGACCGTCCGACCGTCCGTCCTTCCTTCCTTCCTTCCTTCCTTCCTTTCTTCCTTCTTTCCTTTCTTGTATCACTTCACCCACTTGCGCTAGTTTGACCTTTATTATTACGTCCTCTCACGCACACACACAAATAACCATGCATACATATACGTAGATTTATATAAATTTTTATGTTTTTTGGTGGTGCGTGCACACGCGATATACGATAAAGTTTTTATGACACTCGCATAAGAAGACCATAGACCTAGAAGTTACTAAGCAGACTTCGCGCGATATATATTCGATGGATTAGATATATTCTAAGCTGCAACGCGAGCCTAGGCGATTGGAGGGGATGGGGCGTGTATTTAAAACACAAATCAGAAGAAATGATGCTTATGACGATCGTCGAGAGAGACAGAGAGAGAGAGAGAGAGAGAGAAAACTTCTCTTATTTGGTGGCAAATTTAAAAAGGATCTATTTTTTTATTTTGATTTATTTTTTTTAAAGATATATAAGATCAAAGTTGAGATTTCAAGCAGCAATAATTATTTATACAAATTTAATGATGCGGATAAATTTTAATTATTACTTTATAAGCGCTCAGAAATATTGAGAATAAATTTTGAGAAAATGCAATTTTATTCAATCCAAGTTCTCTGTAAGATTTATCTTAATTGTTAAATAATATTTAAATGTAGTATTTAAATTATTAAATAGTGCACTTATCATCTAGTTTTATATGCTTTGATGATAATTTAAAAACATTTAAAGGCCATTCACATCTTTGGTGGATATCCGGTAATAATAAATATTGTTAATGGCAAAAATAACCACGATAAGATAATTTTTTTAATATTTTGGTAAAAAAGATAGTGGCATAGAAAATTTGTTAACGTTCTTACAACATCATCCTAAACAAAAACATAAATATATTCATTAATCGTTAATCATTTATCATTAATCGTACCCTTTTCAACATTATTTCATACTTTTGTTTCTATCATACGTTTTGTGGATCACTACTGTTGATATAACTAAAAAAAAAAAAAAAAAAAAAAAAAAAAAAAAAAAACAAGGCTACATATGTTTACCATGAAGCGAATCGACACCATTCAAACAAACTATAATTTTCTATTTTAACGAATTTTAGGATAATACATATTGATAGACAATTGATCAGAAAAAACTCAGACGTCTATACGTTAAAAATTGAGAGAGCTCAGAGAGGAGCGTATAGATACTTTTGACTTACCAAATGAAAATAATTAAAAATAAGTTCTGCCATTCAAAAAACGAGCGGTTTAAGAAAAGTTGTTCTTAAGAAAATAAGCGAATAATAATTAATAATTTGTGCGTGTAAAGATGTCTCGTTACTCACCTACTAGGACTTAAAATTGAAAAGTATACAATCTATCGACGATTATTACAGGATTTATTATTCATTTCAACTTGCCTTTTGTAATAATTATACGTAGCTTTCATAAAATTGATAAATTGTCAATAATTCCACCTAGCAATTTTTGGTATTTCAAGCTCCGAGATTTAAAACCCCTTGAAATATCCCAAGCTATTACTTCTGTCTTCCTCTGTCTTTCCCTTACGCATGCAAATGCTCTTTCTCTGACTCATCTGCACAATGCATAGCAAGCAGTACAGGTGTTGGGTAGTGGGCGTAATGCGTGACGTTTAACGATCAGCGCTTACGAAGGTGGTTTTATAATCATGTATGGTTGTGTGAATCGAAATATGATGAATATACATTTTCTTTATCGTAATCCGATATTCTTAATGACAGTTTGTAATGCAACTGCTGCTAGTTGACATATTATACGATAAATTATAATAAAGTATTTTTAATTAGAAAAAATTGTAAGTAATAGAAAAATGATATTAGCGCAATAATAGTCGTTATTACGACTAGGATGAAGTAAGCGAAATCGTAAATTAGTTAATAAAAATGAAAAATTGTGTTCAATTTATGTATTTACCTATTAATCATTGATTTGCATTATAAAGCGTGCTCATATATATATATATATATATATATATATATATAATAAATAATAATAATAATAATAATAATAATAATAATAATAATAATGATAATGATAAAAAAAAGAAAAATAATAATAATAAATAATGCATGTATATGCATGGGGAACAATTACTTTGGATATTCTAATTAATATGTATATTTAAGGCATAACCATAAGCTATTTTATAAATATCGCCAGATCGACAAGGAGTAATTATAAAAATATAGAAGACCGATTTTTCAAAAAGATATAATAATAAGTATATACCTCTTTGCATGTACAGTAATTAATAATTTAAATATTTTTTTAATTTTAATACTTTATAATATTGCGCATGCGTAATTTTCAATTGCTTTATGAATTAATTTTGCTGATCGTACATGCATTTGTAGCTATAATACGGATTATTAAATTCAATTATAAATTAAATAATATAAACTATGATTGTGTTGAACGGCAGGTATTGTTATTGAGAGAGTATATTGAAATATCAGCTTGAGGCTAGTTAAATAAAGAAATTCTATATAATTTTAAATGCAATCTAAATTTCCTTCGATATGTTGTGATTTTGTAACATTACAATCTATTTTCTAAGTATTGGGAATAAATCTATTCAATTCTGTTATGTTTTATTGTATTATTCACTTGCGCCACGAACTTCCAAGCTCAGCAGGCAATCACAAAAGATATTGTTTATCATTGTTGACGAAATACTTTCGATAAAGATTAAATATTAAGTGCTTATCAATTTTATAAAATGTCCAAAATGTTTTGAATAATTTATTTTTAACCCTGTACCTTCATAAAGAATTCAAGATAATAATAATCGATAATAATAGATTATAATAGTCCTAGAATATATAATTTTAACGATGATACTGTCTGGCAATCACAAAAGTTATTACGTGGAAAACATTAAAGAAAATGAGTCAAAGCATAGAATCGTACATTTTTCAAAAAGAAAAGTAAGGTTATATTTAGCTACGATCTGTATAAAATGTAACAGACCATATTAATTAATATTTGTTTCTTATGAGATCGACGATTCTTTATGAGATTCTTAAAAGATAATTTTTCATTATTATATTCAGTGTCAGCAAAAAAAAAAAAAAAAAAAAAAAAAAAAGAAAAAACAGATAGACAAATAGTATCTGAAAATGTCCCGACAACAGGAAATAATTTTCTTCTTCTGTAGTCTTATTTCATATCTATATATCCACTAATAGCATTCATCTTATTATCAATATTATTACAAAATGGATATAAGACAGATAAAAATAAACAAGAAATTAATATTGGAATTTTTCATCCAAATTGTAATGCTGGTGAAGAAGGAGATAGAATTCTTTCATCTTTCCTTGCAGTACTCGAATCGAATTACGCAAGTATAAATATTATTATACCAGTCAGATTTTAAATAATTATATATAAAACCCAAATTAGGGATATACAATGTGTTCTTTTAATTTATTTTCTACTTTTTATTTTTATTAAATATTTTATTTTATTTATATCAAATTCTGTATGAAACAAAATGTAACATTACAATATAATTTATTTAGTTATAACTTTTAAATAATTTTGCAGATGTTTAAAGCTCGATTGATACAAAGATTGATACAACAATATGCAGGTAACCAAATTTTTAAAAGTAATAGAAAATTTTAACAATTTTCAACATACTGAGGTAGAAGATAATCCACTGACATACTGCTAATAAATCGAGGTACTTGAACAATATCTTTATTATAATATTTAGATTTATCTCTTCGATTACTTAAGCGTTTCGTAACTGCTTGAACCCATTCTTTAACTGTAACTGGTGTCGATTTCTTTAGCTCATCACAAATATCTTGAATGAACCATGTACCTGATAAACATTTTTGAAACTTGCGTTAATAGCAAATTCATTATTGTTCACAATAAATTATTTACCTTTAGATTCATTTCTCATTGCGGCAAAGCTACTTATAGTTGCTTGAAAGAGACCAAAGTGCATATGATAAATAGGGCAAGTTGGGCCATCTGTAACTAATTTCGATGATTCATCTACATTAAGGTTTCTCTCTATTGTACCTATAATCAATAATTTCAATTTAATTATACATAAAAGCATGCTTAGAAAAATAATTTATGACAATTTCAATTTTTCAATTTCAATATAAAATATAGAAAAATGTAATTTGTATTATAAATTTATTTTTCTTAGACTTACCTATTTGTTTACCTTGGCATGATTGTAAAATTACAAATTTGAATACTTTCTGTAAATTTTGACAACAGAATTTTTCTTCTATTATTTTTATAGCTACTGTTTCACCATCAGAAAATACGACTTCACCTACAAAACTTGTTCTATTTCAAAATAAAATTTCAACAATATGCAAATTATTTGAAAAAATATTGTTATTACCTTCATAACCATGACTCAATATACATATGAAGATAGAACCATAATTATTATATGGAGATTCGTTTAAAGAATTCAAAAATTTCATCATTTCTATCTTTGTTAAGTCTCGATATACTTTTATATCGAATTTACAGCCTTTGAAAGTATTTTTTAAGTTTTCCTCATCTATATTAGATCCTAATCTTGTTTTATACTACAGATATATTGATTCATTTAATGTAAGATTTATATATATATATATATATATATATATATTGGTATACCTTGATATTATCTGTGAAGTTTATTTCATTTATAATAAGGCAAAGTCTTTTATGTTCTTCAGACCAAGAAATTATAAAATCTTTTTGAAGTTCAGAGTATGGATTATTACAACTTCTATGTTGTAAAGAATTATCATTTTTTATTGTTTGTTGATTCACTTCTATGTTTTTCCAGTATTCAAAATTAAATGGTAAATTATATAATAATCCCATTTTTTTTAAAGTTTGTATTAAGTTATTCAAATCAGGATTATCTGAAAATATGAAAAATTAAATGAATAAATTGATTAGACGAATGATTTTTTAACTATTTCATAAAATTATTTATATGAAATTTTTAACATTTTTTATAAAAATTAATGAAAAAGAATAATTATAAATATTGTAATTACCATTTCAATAAAAATTCAAACATTACATAGGATATTGAGTATATGCTGCTTTCGATGATCGAATTCAAATATAATGAAATAAGTATTTTGATAATATAATGGATTATATGAAAAATATCGTTTAAAAAAATGAAAAGCATACTTTGATCAATCGTAATATATTTCTCCTTCATCCAATGTAACATATAAAGTTCCAAACATAGAGTGCTTTTATCTGTTATCAATGGAACATTCAACGATTTATTCACTTCAGTTATTAACTTATCTACTTCCTTTCCATTTAAAGATTCACATACAAAATATAAACTTTTTATTACTCGATTTAAATTTGGCGTGACGTTATGTATGTTGGATACAAATTGTTCCTTCATTGATGTAATTTGAGTTTCGTTAAAACCCAATTTTCGAATAACATTGAAATTACCAATAATAATTAAAATTTCTATTAACTTTTCTTGCCAGCCAGTGTTAGTTTTAGTTAATAGAATAAACTTGGCAAAGGAAGTCTCTTGTATAAGTTCAATAATCTCAAAAACATTGGTATTTTTATCTGTCATTAAAAAAATTATAGAAACCATTTCTGTATAATCTAAATCGCATATTATCTGTTTTAATACATCTCCATTGATCCTTTCTTTAAAAAAATATTTTTTATGATTAAAATTTTCTGGTAAAGTGGGAACTGCATCTTGAACCAATGACATGCTTCGTTAATAAGTAGATTGAAATTTCTAAAACAAAGAACAAATAGAAATATATGTTGTACTAAAAATGTTTAAGGATATAATTAACAAATTGCAGAGTTTCATGTATTGTTATTCATTCATGTAAATCATGTATTGTTAAATGAATAAACTATATTTTTACATATCCTTATTGTATTCAAATTGAAAAATTAATTTTGAATATCATTCAATGACATTATTAATTAATAATGTTTGATTTATTTATTTATTATTAAAAATTTTAGATAGTACGTTATACCCACTGTATTATTAAACAAATAAATCTATAATCTTAAATCTGAAATTTATAAGTAATTTTTATACATTACTCAAATAAAGTAAATATTATTTGAATATTAAGTTATGTGCGAACTTGAAGTAGTAACAGATGTTACAGAAATTCTGCAAGAGCGAGTAATTTTGATTTCACCAATGACATTTATTATTTTGTATTTTATTTTATATATAATGTTATATTAAAAAAATTTAATGTACTTACGAGAAATAGAAAGATTTTAAATATTTAATATGTTGTTTTTCAACGAGTATGTAGGTTATGTTGCCCTCAACAATATAAATTACATAAAAATGACTTTAAATTATATTCTCTTTTTCAATAATAAATACATTTTTATATTTTCTATGAAAACAAATCATTGTTTTTATTTCAATCCTTTACCATCTTTTAAAATTTATTATTATCCTTTTCCGTCTTACTGATTCAATTATGTAAACAAATAAGAAATTGATATAAGAAATATTTTAAAAAATTTTATTATAGAGACTGCAGAAAAATTCTCGTAAAAATATGTAAAAAAATTCATAACAACTCTTTTAAATTATTTGGACAATATATTTATTCTAAAACATAAATTAAGTAAATTAATTTTATTTAAAATATATTAAATTTGCAATTATAAAAATTCCATAATACAAGAATGTCATTAATGATGAATAATATGAATCATGACGGCTTCGTAGATGCATTAAAAATAATAGATCGTAATAAACAAAATTTGTCTACATCAATTCTAAATATTTTTAAACAAAATCCCGATATTATTTCATACTTAAAGTTCATATTGTAATCATTATTGTATATGTTAATTTTTATTTTGATTAAAAAAAAAAAAAAAAAAAAA